TGTCTCAAAAACACTGCAACATAAGCGCTCACATGCGCCACATATGTTTTGGTCATTGACGTTGACAAGTTATGTAGATGACTCTTTCGGTGAAAGTGACAACATATCATGCAATTTTCTGTTTTTTTGTGAAGGTCGCTCAGCCTCCGAAATATCTGGAGAAATTATGACCAGGGTGACATAACGGGAGAGCTTTGGCACCCACAGATCCGAGTGCAAAAGTGTGGATTCATGTAATGTTACGCTCATGAAATATGTGCCTGATCGTAATACCCCTTGTGCATGTGCGTTGAACGCATGTTTAAGCACCTATGCTCGCTGTATGTCTTAGCCATCGCCCTGATTCGCCGTTTTGCATACCTCGGACTGATGGGGGGAGAAGGGGTTGATGCGACCCTCCCCCGGCGTTTCCAAGCTTATAAAGATAGACCTTGCCGAGAAGAGCGGTATATTGTTCTGAACACGATCTCACGATTGGTACTAGTTGTTATGCTGTTGACAGGTCAAAGGTCGAATTGCACAGAAAACCGCACGTTATAGCTTTATCTTATGTTAACGAGAACAAGCCTTGCAGTGACACGAACCTTAACAGGCGCTCGGGTGGGGTGCGGGTCAAATTGACACGAACCTTAACAGGCGCTCGGGTGGGGTGCGGGTCATATTGACACCCCGCGAAGGTTTTTCCAGAATGGTTGCCGAACGACGCGGCATAGCCGCGCCAAATGTTGCATAGCCGTAGACAATTGAATAGCGGATCGTTTGACATCAAAATTTAGGTATACCTTGCAAGGTCGTTGACCTATGGCAGGTCAAAATCAGGCCATGGCTTCAGCCAAGGGAATTTCTCGGGAATCGTCCCATCTGATGCAATAACGGAGTGCTTAACGAAGCCATACATCTCTGAGATGCTTTCTTAGGCACTACAATTATTGAATGAGCAAATTAAGTTGACCTAAGGTCGGGTATGAAGGTCAAAACCAACCTGATTTATTACCCTAAGGCTTGTTGTAAGCGATACTTTGTGGTGCTAATTTCGAGTTTATTGACAGCAGGAACCGCATCCTACTTCTTCCATTGACTTTTTAAGGTCAAAACGGGTCGTTGACCTAAGGTGACCAGGGTCGACATTTTGTTTTAGAAACATCTGCCTAGCGTAATCTTTGTTGCCTATTCAAATGCAAAACTCAGAGAAGTCTTGTATCATTTTGGTCACTATGACCTTTAAAGGGTCAAAAAAGGTCGCTGACCCCAATGGGCTTGTGAGCTTTTGCTTAGAAACGGTTGCCTGGGTTCTGGGGGCACTTCAGAGACCAGCCTGTAATTTGAGCTTGGTTGACCTTATATGACCAGAAGGTCATGTTCTAAGAAGCTCAAACTTTTACCTGCGTGATTTCACGTACAGGTCAAAACACTCTGTACATTTGGTGTCTCTAGCTTTCTAAGTTCCCGAGATCTCAATGGGGAGGCGGCGGGGGTCAAATTGACCCCCCACCCCCAGCCGAGCGAAGGGTATCTAACCGGCCATCCGGGTACGTGTTAAGTTGGCTTGTGTCTTGTTCAATTCTGAGTGCATTCTGTGGTGCAATTCTCTTCCCGCACGCCGCATGAGGCAGCCATAGATCGCCGTTCAGTGCTCATCACAAACTGCCGTTGCTCCGAAACTAGAAAATTTAGGAACACGTTTTGGTATCAAAACACGTGCGATAATCAGCGCCTATCATGGTGACGGTTAAACGTCATGTTATTGCTGCGTTGGGTATCGGCAGTGGTTTTTCGTGAAACAATATTCCTCAGTTTGCTGATAACTGAAGCCATAGCGGGCAAAAGAGGGAAAATCCATGCTTGCTTCCTTCCATAATTGCTTGCTCCTAGCTTGACCTCACACTGACCCCGTCCCAACAGACCAAGTCTCTCGCAATAAGTTGTTTTCGTTGTTCGGACGGGGAAAGTTTCGCGAGCATCGAAACCTTTCGGCGCCAGCCCATGGACTGATGATGAAGATGTTCTCGTTGTTTGGACGGGGGAAGTTTCGCGAGCATCGGAACCCTTCGGCGCCAGCCCATGGACAGAGCACATCTTCATGTATGCGCCAGACTCTTCGCACGCGCTTGGCGACAGGCAGCTTGCCGCGAATGAAAATGGCGCGAACGACGAGATGATCGACCAAGGCAACCGATCGCTGTTGTCACGTAAGACGAGCTGCAGTGAACGCATAAGACTGAAGGAGATGTGACAAAGATACGGGTATGCAATTTGAATATGATCATAATAGATTTCAATATTTTCAGCTCATTTCATCGTTTCGCTAAGTCTTTGATCATGGATGTTGGAGTACACAGTGCGCTTATGGCAGGCCCAGTGTGTGAGGCATGCTACAAATGCTCTTGAAACGGGAGATGCGAAAGTGTACGTGTTAGGCGACAAACAGCCGATCGCATATAGGAACACCGATGCAGATGTCAGAGCATCATGTTATTGTCGGTATTTAGCGGATACGTGGCCGGTAGGCAGTAGGGTGGCGGCAGATTCTGTTATTTACTTTGATTTTTCCGCCATTTCAGGGGGAGGTAGGTTTTCTCTGGTGCATATCTCGGTTAAGATGACAGCATACCGTGCATTTGTATTTCTTCTCACATTTGTTCTCCTTTCCGTAATAAGCATGCCTCGTTGTGAACGGAGTTATGCAACGGAGATATGTGTCACCAGAATTAGAGTGCGAATGTGTAAACTCATATCGTGTAATGCTTCGAAATATGTGGTTGATGGTGATATCCCTTTTGCATGTGTTATGTCGTACGCATGTGTAAGTACCTACTCTCGTTGTCTTACACATTATCTTATTGCTGCAATGGATATCGGCAATGATGTTTCGTGAAAAGATTCTCCTCATTTTGTAGACAACTGCACCATGTGAGGCAAGAATGTTTGCTTACTTCCATACCTACTTGCCCCTTGTTTCATCTCACACTGAGCCCGCCTCCGAAAACCACTCCCACGCGACAAGTCGCGATCTGTCTCAGGTCCGGTGCTAGACGACTACTGCGCTTGAGAAACTCCAAGCGGGAAACGTCGCCGTGCGACCAATTATGAATGCCATTAGAACATTTTCATCCACGCGCCGAACTTCACGAGCTTGACAACAGGCAGGCTGGCGAGAATGAAAATGGCGCGAACTGGCCGCATTGGCCGATCAGCTGATCGACCAAGGCAACCCATGGCCGTAACCGCGTAAGTCAGAAGTCAGTGCACCAGGCTTCGCATAAGGCCAAGGAAAATACAACCACGATGCAGGTAAATATATATATATATATATATATATATATATACATATATATATCATGGATGTGATAGCTACAGTTTTTAATATGCGTAGTTCGTTTCATTGCCTTGTTACGTCCTTGGTAATGGAGGTAGGAACACCGTGTGCCCGGGGCGAGGGCAGCAGAGAGCACTTTGCAGTGTTTATTGCAAATGCTCTTGAAACGGGATGAGCCATGTAGTATGCAACAGGCGTCTAGCAGCAGGCCGCATGTAGCAACACAGCGTGCGTTCCTGTTCGCGTGCTTACCTGAACCGCTCGTGGGTACCTGTTGACTTGCAGGAAACATGCCCTTAGAGCCTGCGTGGGGAGAGTTTAGAGGCAGCATGGCCCAGTACACATGTCTCGTGCGAAGGAGGCGCCAGCTACATAGCATGTACAAACAACACTTTCGGAACGTCGAATTGGGGTTTGCAGTCATAAACACAACACTGTATATATTCAGATCCACACCAGAGTGACATGAATGGGGCTTACGCGAGGAGCCGAATGACAAATTAGGAAAAAATAACGGGCTACGCTTTGAGGCGATGACGCGATGAGGTGTGTTTTGTTAACCGGCCTTGACCAATGGCGGATCCAAAGTGGTAGGGGGTGGGGGGTTGGATGGGGCTATGCCCCCTGTCTGTTGAGGTGAGGGGGCAACCAAATGTTATGGTGAAGGGGCAGCAAAATCTTCATTTCACATCCACTTAACCTTTATTTTCAAAAGGCCCCAAAATTTCACGGGCACCACAGATGATCACAAATATTTATTTTTGATTGGCACTGAAATCCGTGTACACCATCACCGGGCCAAACCCACCATTTTCTGAGTGCACCAAATTTGAGGTATACAGCAGTGTTGTGCCTCCTAATTTGAGGTATACAGCAGTGTTGTGCCTCCCTGACGAAATCCTGGATTAGCTCCTTAGGCTAGGGGGCACCGAAATGGTTAGTTTGGAGCACGATGGCTTTAATTTCGCGGCACCATAACTCTTACTTTAAAGAGTCCCTCTATCTGAATGGGCAATTCAAATTTCCCAAAGCTTCGGTTTTAAACAGCGTTCAAAATCCATTGACATCACAATGTCAGTGCCTTTCACCCTTGCAAAATTCTCGATCTGCCTGTTCCACGAGAGAGCACCAAAAAGTTTCATTACGGGTTATCTTAGCTTTTATTTTCCAGAGGCACACACTTCCTGAAGCACCACAAAGCAGGGGCGGGTCCAGAGGGGGAGGGGCCATGGAGTCATTCCTTTCCCCCTTGGGCCCAAGGAGATTTAGACGTCCTGAAGAGTCACCAAATCTTATCGCCAAAGGTGCAATGGTACCTTCATTTCGGAACCACATAACCTTTAGTTTTATGAGACGCCAAGACTGTTATCTGTCCTCTGGGTGACATCAGCTCCAAGATGCTAAAAAAGCAGGTCAACATAAATGCCTTGCCTTGCAATGATTCGTACCTGTCTTGAAGATGTTTTATAAACAATGCGATCTCATCATTCAACCCGACACCAACGGCTCGATAAATATATGGCAGGCACTTTCTACCAAATATTTTCAGCAGCAACGTCCTATGGAATTATTTTTCTCCTTTCAGCTCTTATAAACAGCGTATATTAGACTGCCTTTGTCCTTTTTCAGATGGAAGTGAGCGCTGTCCTGGCCGTTTCGGCTGCCCAGTACGACCTGCCTACAGCGGCCAGGCCTACTCGGTACAACCGGACGCCGCCAGATACTGGACCAACTTGGCTGCCCCCTATACCAAATACGCTGCCACCGTCTATAACGGCTTCGCCGCCAGTGCCCCGGCCGGCGTCCGCCTCCAGGACAACGGTCTCAGTACCAAGTTCGACGGCAAAATCCCCGTCTTTCCTATCGTGGGCTACTTTAGTTACGTGGACCTCAATGGTGTGAAACAGACGGTCGATTACGTTATGGACGAGTCCGGATACTGCTTGCCTGGCACCCACCTGCCGGTGGATTACGTCACCGACGTTAAAAGGATGCATCGTGCGATAAGCGTGTGCTCTCACAGTTGCACTCCGTAAGCACGTGCTAAGGGGACTGTAAGCAGTCGTGCAGAAGAATCAAGGCTATATAAAGTGACGGAATGAAGTCTTTGCTACTAAAGGAGCCTTGGGTTTACCCCTTAATACCTTCATCTGCCGTTTATGACCGGATGACATGCTGCCTTTTTCGACATGAAGCAGTTGCGTCCAGTAGGTTTGAGTAAGATCGATGGTGAACTAGGCAAATCAGATGCATGTTTAAGGTAGAACAAAGCTACGTTCCACGTTAATAACATCTGAAATTTGATAGTTAGGGGTGGTAAACTTTGCATGGAATGTGTGCCGGTGAGCAAACCAAATATCGGCACCAACTGAGTGGGGTACTCAGTGACTGCAGATGTCTTAATGTCTGCGGACGCTGCAAGCGTGAGAACACTAACAAGCCCCTTCATACATTATCGTCGACTTAATGAAGCTAGTTGTTGCGAAGGGATACACAGTGGTACCATGAAGTCATTAGAGGCGCTGAAAGTTATCGTAGCATTTAAACGCATTTCATTTGCGCTCCCCCACCACCTTGAATTAGCATTTCATATTGACTTGCAGGCATGCGTGGATAGATTGAGCTGTGCAAAGCTGGTGAGTAATGCTACAGAGACAACATCTGTATCACTAGCAGTAAGTGAATGAAAAAGGGATAGGGATAAAGACGGCGGTCTGCTTTCGTGAGCGTATTTTCGGTACCAAACGAATGGTTAATGGTTAACGATACGCATGGTCAACGGTGACTGATAAGCTTCTGTTGTGTTGCAAGGATGCGTGTGGCTGCTCTAAACTAATATGAAATATTTTACGCGAATTAAACCCACGAGACAACATACATACGCCTTACAAGACACAGCCCCAACGACTTACGCAACGGAAGAGGCCAGCATCCTATTTTGTTTTTTTATATTTTATTTGTGAGCTGGTCGCTGGTGCAAACTTATTCTTACAGCAAGCTTCATGGGCTGCTGCCGTACTACAGACAATTGTACTCCTGCTCAAAACCAACTTGAACTATTCCACGCAAATTCAACCAGCAGATGTTAATAAGACACCCCACAGATATCTTACATAACACCCGGGACGAACGAGGCCAGCGTCCGGCGCCCACAGCGGTTGTGTCTGGGGATCCCGTGACGATACAGGTCAGACAACCACTTACGTCATATTAGCAACATTCGGTAGCAAATGGCTTTCCTTTGGCTAGACACGGCAAGGAAAAATCGGGGTGCGAACATCTGCGACTGAATACTATATATATATATATATATATATATATATATATATATATATATATATATATCTATCTATATATATATATATATATATATATATATATATGAATACTCTCATGAATATGTGTTGTGTGCGTATTTTGGCATATAATTCAGATACTTCCTAGTTTATGATCAACGTATCCATATTATCCTAAACAAATCTTACCAAAAAATGCCTTGCTTGTAAGAATGCAATGTACTGCGGACGCTGTCGCAGATGTTCGCACCCCGGGTTTTCCTTGCCGTGTCTAGCCATAGGAAAGTCATTTGTGTATATAAATATATATATATATATATATATATATATATATTTGAAAGCACTTCTCTTCTTAGTATCGTCATTGCCTTATTGACTGACAGGAAACAAATGCAGTTTTATTCTTAAAAATGGTTGCAACGGGCGGAATGTACTTGAGTGCCAAATCGGCGTGCTACACCTTTTAGATCTCGCTTTCCTCTTCCGGTTGCGAATCGTCTGAACCCTCACCCTGATAGGATGGGGGAGGTAATCCAGCCTTCCTAAGGTTTTCTAGGATACCTTCTTCCAGTAGCCTAGGGTGCATCCATTGTGCGTGTTTTCACACGAGAAACGTGTTTCTAGCATTTCTGGTTTCGGAGCGATGGCGGTTTGGAAGAACGCTGTAGGGCGATCTACGGCCTGCGCGGGCAACGGGCGACATTCCGCGGCATCGATGCCACGGAACGCGCGCAGGGCGCCGGCACTGCGGCATTAGCAGTCATATATCAAAAATATATACTCAAAACACATAAAAATAAACACCATTGTACTCAATATTGAACAAAAATGACGTCTGCTTCAGTTTTGTGTACCTTAGAGGCATGGTCTCGAACCCATGATGAAAATCTGAGTGTGATTCTCTGGAAAATTTGACTATTGACAACATGAAAGCTAGTACCAATCGCGAGATCTCGTTGTGACCAGCCCACTGGTGTTTTCCGCCAAGGTGTATCATCCCCCTTGTGTCAGTAAGCGTTATGAAAACGGCCAATCAGGGCGATGGTTAGGGATATACTATTTTTAATTATTATATTAATATTAATAGTTTTTGAGAGACAGGCGTGAGGTTTTTTTGCCTCTCAATAAATGCTAGGAAAACTTAAAACGTTCTATTTAGGGGACGCTATATAAAGCATGCAGCTATTACCACGCAAAACCAACGAAACAATCAACTATGGTTCTTTGATTTCTCACCTATCGCCTTTGGCACACTGGCTTCTTTCGAATTGTACTCTGGCTTTGGACAACAGAGTGTCACATGGTCTATAGTGACGAACTCGTTCAAACTTCACCCAATGCGCTTCTGGGCTTTGGCGCTCGCTGTGCCAATCACAAACGCTTATGTGTACTATGGTCACTCATACCAGATGAGGTGCACACTTTTAGTTCCGCAAGCTTGCAATGTGCGGGTTACGGCAGCTCAAAAGTGGTACCGTCTGTCCACAACAGCTGACGACGGCCCCTAGCAGCTTCTGCCGTTGTCATGACGCCGGTACTCGCGACAACTACACTCGCCGTGCAGAAGGACTGCACTCGGGGCTATCAAGAAAGGAAACAGTTTAGTGCAGTGGCAAAACGTTGACAGCGTAAGATGTGCTTGACAATAATTGGAAACAACCGCCTCATTGCGTCTTGATGGTGCTGTGGTAGCACTACCCAGTATTCTTAGTAGACGAATTGGCCCTGAGATTTCACCACAGTATGTTTTTAAACTATGCTTCAAGCGTGAGGCACTCCCGAATATGGCCCGCTCCATGCTGCCCGGACAGCGAGGCGTATTGAGTGGTTATATTATCTCGGGTCGATCAGCCGCTTGCTTGTCTTTCTTTTCTGACGTCGTTATGAACTACGAGCTGTTGTCTGGTGCTCTCAATTTAGTTCCGAGGTTTTACGTCGATACCAAAGACCGTTTTTCACATATAATGCACCACATTTGTTTAAGTCTAAATGTAAGTATTTTTCAGTGCCATATAGGTTACATAAAACGGGCACAAATATAGAAATGCCACGTACCTTTCAAAAGTTAGGGACTTTAAGACAAAGGTCTATATTTTGGACTTTTAGTCTAAACAAAACTTTCCTGAGAGACTTTGAAAACTTACAGGGATGAACATTCAACTTGTCAAGTTTAAGAAAAGTGAAGTGAATCAGTGCTTGTTTTACGCGGCGAAGTCGCTTATGGATTCATGACTCATAATTATTCGATGCCAAAAATAATGGGATCTGCAACTGGAGTCTGAAAAATGCTTATGGAAGCCGTATGTGCCTAAAATACCATGTTTTTCCCATTGTTAATGAATATATACAGATTGCATAATTTGTTTTTGGAGGTAAGTACCTAATCTGAAAAGTCATTAATGCTTGCAATAGTGTCATGTCATGCTAACACTGCCTCAGATATAATTGCAACTCGTTAACAACCTGCACCATAACACTTGAATCACCAGTCATTATCACCTGTGCCTGTTATTCCTCTTTTGTTCTGATATCATACTGATATGCAACATAGGTCACTGGCTTTAGAAAATGGAAGCAAAGACAACTAACTACCCCTCTTTACACAACTAAATACTGGCAACCCCAGGAAGGTACATGGGCAGAAACGTATCAGCCTTTTATAATCTAGTATGAAAATCTCTGAGAAGTTCGGCGGGAGGAGACAGGGCCATCGGCAACAACTACTTTCGTAAAGTTGTCAGTTTATCATGGAGCAGCTCGTTCGTGTTTCCATGCTTACGGCGTCCGCAGACATGGCGACGCCTGCAATCATTGAGAGTCTCACTCAGCTGGTGCCGATAGTTGGTTTGCCTATCTACATACATTTAGGCAGTGTGCTAATGCTCTGCATTCGGCCAGGGAGCATGCCTTATATTCGCGGCCATTGCTATTGCTACTCCTTGGATTGCAAGCACGCAGGGTCTAAAACTGTTTCATGCTATTTATTTCACCGGTCAATTCAACAAAAAAAAAAAAAATGGACGTTATGAGGCGAATATGAGTCGGTGTCCTAGAATTGCCGACTTTGGGTATAAAGTAACACCCTATGAGGACGAATTTTTCACTCCTTTTCCCCATATTTTATGTGGACTTTTTCACTCCTGCCTGGCACTGTCTAATCGCGCATGCTAAACCCCTATTTCCCCTTCTGAGGTTTTACGATGCCATCCAAAACCGAGCTCACTTGAAACCACCAATCATAAACGAGGCTCCGCAGAACCTGGACACCAATGGCTATGTCCTGCCTCACCTACATCTGAATCATGTCTATGTATGCACAGAGCAAGGGTGCCTGGTACGCCCAAGCTCTTGAACCCCAGCGACCCCAGCCGCTTGCACGCATTAAGTTTGGGTTGTTTGCAAAATGCATCACAGTCTGCAGCCATGCGCCAAATACAAGGTTTTCACGCATCCCCCCTAATTTTTTGGTCTCACCACCACACCACGAAGGCAGCCTGGTGCAAACACTAGCAAGGCCTGGTAGAGAATTTTATTCTACGTACTTCTTTTTCCCGAGGAAACTTGACCACTAAATGCATCACCCCCCGAAATGCATGACTGAAAAGGCCAAGAAATGTCATATAAATTAAAGTTACAAGATCAAAATCACCATTTGAGCGCTAATATTGACATATTTTAAATCAAATCAGCTGATAACAAATTTTTTGAGAAAAGTACCGGTCTTTTTATTTATTTAGCTACCCTTATTTTTCTTGGTATCATACCAGTGTCATATCACTTTATTCATCCTTCCTTTTTCATTGCCTTTAGAGGTACCGTCTTCTGCTTAAAATTTGAACCAATTTCTCTGCAAGATGCCCCAACCGCAAACTTGTACGTATTTTATACAAAAATTGGTTTAATTCGCCAGCCGCCCAGACACGTTTGATATGCACCCAAGCGTGAACAATTCACGGGGAATGAAGGAGACAATTCGAAACACGGTACTTATTTTTACCGCCATTTTTGCCCTCTTAAACCTTCGGTTAACAGTTTTTTTGGTTCATGGCGGTGTTCAATAATGACGAATTCAACCCTTTCGAGTGTCTGACTCCCCAGGCTACCTGGCAAGGCATTAACATTATAATTAATGCTGCCATATGGCGCCTTGGGACAGACCTGACGCAGCTATTACAGAAGTGTTTGATGGCGAAATTCTGCCCGGTGGAGATGTTTATCACGCACACCCTTTGTTTCGCATTTTAATCTCGAAGGTTGGTGGGCATGATTGATATTAATATTTGGGGAGTGAGTCGGATGACTCTGTCTGCCAGTCGACCATGCAAAAGGTACTGATTTTTTTTTGGGGGGGGGGCAGGAAGAAGCCGGTAAGTCTCCTGTGGACCAAGTAATTGCTTACTTTACCTGCTTTCAACGCATGATTGGTAACCAAAGTTAGCCATTTTTTGTTGTAATGCATCGAATTTTGCCATAAGACAAATTATGATGCCACAAGGCATGCAATGACCTTATTTTGTTCCATATTATTGGTTATTTGCCCCAAATTTCTTAATGTGGTCTCTTACAGCTGCTTTAACCACATGTTTTCTGTAGTTGCCATGGTTTGCTGACCGGCAAATGACTGTACTGTATATATGCACTATATTTTTAACACAGGGATACTCTAAGCTGCATAACAATTATAGTATGAGTTTAATATTGGTATGTGACAAATAGTCAGACCGCCCCATTTAAAATGTGAAGTCAACATATCAAGCTTTTTCACTAAATGTGAATAAACAAGCCCAAATGGATGCATTTGCTACAGCTGAAAAGGCAAGCAGCAGTACTGGCTTGGTCATCTAAAAGTTGTGTTATTTTTGGAGAAGAGAGATTGTTTTGTGGAGCATACCCATTATTGCCCTCGACATAGGTTAACCATGACAATCCAAATAGGTTGTTCAAAGTGATATAAAGTGTTTTGATTTGTGTGTTGTAAACTTTGTCTGATGTCAACAAGCATGCTCAAATGAAATGAATAAAAATGCAAGTTGAAACCAGCCAAAAACTAGCTTTAAATATCATGTTTTTATCACAAGTGCTGCTGTCAACAGATAGGTGAGTTGAGATGATGTTCATCATATGGGCTTCTCTAAGTTAGGTTAAGTTGGTCAGGTGCATGGCAAGTGGCAATAGGAATTGTGCAAGAATCAGTAACTCACAACTGCTGCTGTGATACAAACAGGTTATACAGGATAAGAAAATGTAAGGCCTCTTTAGGTTATGCACAGACTACTTTCATGGAAATAAGCATTGGTATTTTGTAAGAAACAGTGACAAAATGTTTGTTTTCCCTGACCCCATCATAACTGAAGCCAGAAGTATGTCTATTGTGTTTGACTTGGTGATGGGCTGATGTGTAGTAGTCAAAAGTTTTGTTTTGTTTGAATGTTTGTGCTTGCTGAATTTTCTGTTGTTATTTTGTTATTAAATTCCTTTGCTTTGTTTTGTTTTAAAAGTGCCGTGGAAGGGAATTGAAAAGTACAGCATCAAATTATTGGTGTTAATAATTTGTATCCTCATAATACTGTCATTAAATTACTATGCTTGAACACGTTCCCGGTTGGCCGGCTAGATACCCTTCGCTCAGATGGATTGGGGGGGAGGGGCAATTTGACCCCGTCCCTTTGAGATCTCGGGAACTAAGAAAGCTAGAGACACCAAATTTACAGGGTGTCTTGACCTATATGTGAACTCACTTAGGTCGGGGTTTCGGCCTCCTAGGTCATGATCTTCGGGTAGAATAAGGTCAAACAAGGTCAAATTCCAGGTTGGTCTCCGAAGCATCCCCAGAACCTAGGCAACTGTCTGTAAGGAAAAGTTCACAAGCCCATTTGAGGTCATTGACCTTGTTTGACCCTTTCAAGGTCATGGTGACCAAAATGATACAAGACTGATCTGCGTTTTGCATTTGAATAAGCAACAAAGATTACATTGGGCAGTATGTTCCTAAAACAAAACGTCCGACCCGGGTCATCTTAGGTCAGTGGCCTGTTCTGACCTCTAAGAAATCAATTGAAGATGTATAGTGCGGTTCCTACTGTCAATAAATTCGAAATGAGAAACTATCTATCTATATATATATGTATATATATATATATATATATATATATATATATATATATATATATATATATATATATATATATATATCATACCGTCATACATCTGACCGTCATACCTGACCCTAGGTCAACGTGATTTGCTCACTCAATATTTGTGGTACCTAAGAAAGCATCTCTGAGATGTACATCTTCGTGAAACACTCCGTTGTTGTATCAAATTGAACGATTCCCTAGAAATTGCCTTCGCGGAAACCATGGGCTGACTTTGACCTGTCATAGGTCAGCGACCTTACAAGGTGCATCTGAAATTTGTGTGTCAAACGATCTGCCATGCAATTTTTTACAGCTGCGCAAAATTTGGCGTGGCTACGCCACGCCGTTCAGAAACCATTCGGGAAAAGCCCTCGGGGGGGGGGGCAATTTACCCCCCCCCCACCCGAGCGCGTGTTAATGTATTATATATGCGCGCGCTGTTTCACTTTAATGGCCTGAGATGTTAAAAAACGAAATGGTTTTGTCAGGTTCCTGATATTACGTCCATGCCAATTTGAAATAGATGTCTTTGTTGCTGAAGCATCAGTCATGAGCTCATAAGTTCCATCTTTTTTAATTGATTTTTTCGCTCCCGCATGGTCTTTTTGCGTTGGAATTTTTCACTCTCACCCAAGTTCAAAAGCGATTCTAGCTCCCTGATATGAGTTGGCCTTTTCATTTCTAGCCTCATTTGGATCCACTCAATTTGTCATTTCTGAGATCTTTTACGTATTCCTTACAAAGAGCCCCGTGAGAAGAACACTAGGGGCACATAACTGTTGCCGGTGCAGGGCTGACGGGCCACTCGGTCCCAGTGCCGGGTGTGTTCTGGCCGCCATTCTGGCGACACGGGTGTCCCTTTGTCCAACCGGAGACACTTTGAGGGATGCATCATACCATCTTGTACTCCATGAACATGTGCTGAGGAGACTGTAAACAGCCGTGCAGAAGAACCAATGATATATAGCAATGACAGAATGTAGCTTTTGCGTCTGAAGGAGTTTTGGGTTTGCCCCTCAATATCTCCGTTCACCGTTAATGATAGAGTAAGTTTATGCCATTTACAACATGAAGCAGTTGTATCCAGTAGGATTTCAGGAATATCGCTGGTGAACTAGCCAAATTGCATGCATGGTTAAGGTAATACAAAAATAAGGTAAACACAAATTAGATCTGGTAATTAGGGAGTGGGGCAGGCAACATTACTTCCCCCTCACCTTAAAAAGTGGGTCCTGTCCACCTCCATCAGTTCCTACACCCATTTGTGTGTCTCCGTATAATCGGTGATCTCCGAAATGCCACAACCTTTAGCAAAGATGGAGTTACCATTTCCTTACTAAATCTCTTTAAGGCAAACGAGATTGCGGTACGTGCTGTCAATGGCACGGCGTAAGTACCGAAGCATGTTTCATATCGTCGCGGTTGATGTTAATGATCATTTGGGTGATTGACATCCTTGTTGCAGGCACGATGCAGCAGTGTCCTAGAATTGCCGACTTTTTGATGCTAAGTAACAACCTATGAGGAGGAGTTTTCACTCCTTTTCCTTTTATTTAATGAGAATGGTTTTCTCCTACCTGATAGTGTCTAACCACACATGTCTACCCATATTTTCTTTTCAGAGGTTTTAAGACGTCATAAAAAATTGAGCTCACTTGAGACCACCAAGCATAAACAAGGCTGCACAGAACCTGGATGCCATTTGCAAGAATCAGTGACTCACAAATCCTACTGTGATACAAATGGGTTGGACAGGGAGAGAAAAGGTAAGGCTGCTGTAGGTCAGGCTTAGTTAGGCTACTTTCATGGAAATAAGCATTGGTATTTTGCAAGGGTGACATGATATTTGTATTTCCTGACTCTATCTTGACAGAAGCCTGAGGCATGCCTGTGGTGTTTAATTTGATGATGTGCTGATGTGCATGAGTCCAAGCCCTTTTTGTTTGAATGCTCTACGCTTGTTGAATTTGGTGTTGTTGCTTTTGTGTTGAATTCCTTTGCTTTGTTTTGTGTTAAAAGTCCTTTGGAAGTGAAACGCAAAGTGCAGCACTAAAACATTGGTGTTACATAGTTTCTGATGTTCATTACACTTCTAAGAAGTCACTACTCTTTAATGCATTCTGTTTCACTGTAATGACCTAAGATGTTAACAAACATTTTTGTCATGCTTCTGATATTGCATCCATGCCAACTTGAAATGTATGTCTTTGTTTGCTGGAGCATCTCTAACCGATTCAATCAAAAGTTTAAACTTTCGTAGGTTGAATTTTTCACCTCTGTACGGTCTGTTTGCGATGCTATTTTTCACTCCCATCCTGGTTCAATAGCAATTCTAGCTCACTGTGATGCAAGGTGTTGCTGAATAAACGAAAAGAATGAGTGCTGCCAGTGTTTGAAATGTCAGATGCGGACTGCATGGCTAGGCAGTTGTGGGCCATTTCTGCATAAACGCTGTCTTGCTTCAGTCCCAAAGGCAGCACAGTTCCCTTTGGAACTGAAATGTTTAGAAGGCTGGATGTTGATAGGGTAGGATGAACGACGCGCCTGAGCTTTTGCTCTTCTTCCCACCTTTCGCCAAGGACGAGACGAGAAGAGTGTTCTGGTTTTTTGTGAGCGGCTCGTTGGTGCAAAACTAAGCATGCGGTGAGGTTGATAGGCTATTGTTTTATGACAAACATTTGCATTCTTGCCTAAACAACTTGAAATATTCCACGCAAATTCAACCAGCCGGACATCCCGCATATATTTTACATGACACGTGGGACGGACGAGGCCAGCGTCTGGCGCCTAGAAGAACTGTGGCCGGTGATCCCATTGAGATACAGGCCAGACAACCACTGACGTAATATTAGCAGCATTGAGCAGTAAATGACTTCCCTATGGCTAGACGCGGCAAGGAAAACCCGGGGTGCAACCATCAGCGTCCGGCGGCTCGTATCACGCCGGCGATAGCATTCTACTGTCTTAAAGCACCTACAACATTGTAACACGGCCAGCAGAGCTTTCCAGCAACAGGCTCATCACCCAGCGGTTTGCATGAGGAGATGGGGCTCTTCTCCGCCCTTGGAGGACGGGTAAACGAGGGTAATCACCGACCGCCGTGACGTAGTCGACTTAACCTCCCCGCAACATGCGAGTGTTACTGCCGGCGAGGGCGTGGCTCCCATTTAGGACGGCCCCCAGCTGGTATAAAGCTGGCCGGTACCGGTCCATGAGCATCACGGGCCCCAGCGGGTTCAGCGATAAAAGTCCTGGTGGGTCCTCTGCTTGCGATGCTTGCTAACGATATGCATCATAATGAGCTGTTTCATTTCATCTGGAGATCCAGTCTCAATCCGCAGCATGAAGGGAATTTTCCTCACTTGAAGATATTAAGGCAACCTACATACATGGTATACAAAGCTCGGTAGTAATTGCTCGTATGCTTTTAAATGCAACTGACTGCTGAAAGAATTTGACTGTTGAAAACTTAAATGCAACTGACTGCTGGAGACGACAGAGCCAATGCGAGAGTCGCCGCGTCAGAGTTGCCGCTGCAGCGGACGGCGAGACTCACTTGTAGTGCTTTGACGGGCCACAAGGCGACAGTGTTGATCTATTGGTGTGAATGGAACATACTAGCGTTATGTGCGTGCGATTTGGCCTTTCCTCCTAGTATGTTGGCATTTTTTTCGTGACGGTATCGTTGCTTTTGGAGTTCCTGTTGCGATTACGGCACTATTCCTGGGTTATTTTTCTCAGAATTATGTTTGCCTCCCCTAGCAGGTGCTCGAATGGCTGTGTTACCTATTACGTAAAGCGGCCCGTGATCGCGACATTCGCCGTTGCATCCCTTCTTCCCTTTATCCTGCGTCCCTCTTAATACGCTACGCGTTATGGTTGTGATCTACAGAGAATAATAATGAATTAATCATTAGTTAGCAAGCGACTTCTCTAAGGTTACATGCGGCAAGGCAGCCCTTTGAGGCTTTGCGAGTTCTAGGTCCGGGGCAGGCTGCACGCGCCAGTCATGAACAGGTCGGATGCCCCCTTATGCGGCACCTGTCCGAGCGTCTAGGAAATACCGCACTGAGGGGTCCCGGGCTAAGCCTCGGCGGATAGACCCCCAGACGCGGGCAGTCTTGCCCCACAGTTTTCCACTGTCCTTTATTCTGCATGCATCACCCCAAACACGAATGGTTAAAAGACCATATCTTCAACATAAGACAACAAAGTCAATGCGGTGAGGTTTTCACATGACTACCATTACGGCGTACATGTCTAAGTAAAATTCTTATCGGTGTTCCGATCTCGCATGCTTTTAAATGCAAATGCCTGCTGAACATACCAATTTCGCTATAGGAGGATTTTGATCACACCATCGCTTTGTTGTGTCGTGGAACGTTTTTACGACGTTAGAGTCAATGCGAGTGTTGTCACGTCGGAGTTGCCGCTGTAGCGGACGGCAGGACTTCCTTGTAGTGCTTTGACATGCCGCAAGGAGGTAGTGTTGATCTATGAGTGTGAACTGAACCTACGAACGTTAAGTGCGTGTGATTTGGCTGTTTCTCGTGGCATTGCTGCATTTTTTCGTGGTAGTATTTTTGTTTTTGCAGTTGCGGTTTTGATTACGGCGCTATTCCTGGGTTATTTTTTTCTGTCTTGTCTGCCCCGTCTAGCAATTGTCCAAATAGCTGTATTACCTATGGCGTAGAGCGGTCCGTGATCTAGACATTTGCCGATATATCCCTTCTTCCCTTTATCCTGTACCCGTCGGGATGACAACGCTTAAGTAGGTTTTCACGTGATGTGACTATGATGGCACACGTCATGGGATCAAAGTCTTGTAGGCGTTCTTATGGGTACTAGACTGCATAAATTCACGTGGATGAAGCTCAGAAACAAGAGAATTTGAAGTGTTAAACCAGACGTCTAATTAGGTCGTGGTTGTAAAGTGCAGAGAATCACCATGAATTAAGCATTCCGTAGCAAGTGACTAGGGACTTCCGTATGCGTAGATGCGGCAAGACGACCCCATGGGACTTTGCAAGTCCCAAGTTCAGGGCGTGCTGCACGCACCAGCCATGAATAAGCCAAATATCCCGCTTACGCGGCCCCCGTCCAAGGCTTAGCACATACCGCGCAGAGGGGTCCCTGTGCGAGCTATGCCTTGGCGAATAGACTCACAGGTTCGTGTAGTCCTCCCCACTGTTATCCATTGTCCTTTGTTCTGCATGCATCACCATATACACGAATGGTTAAATGGCCATGTCTTCACCGTAAGTGCAACACAGCTGATGTAATGAGGTTTTAACCTGACTACTATGATGACATACATGCTTGGGTAAAATTCCTATAGGTGTTCCGATGTTTACTAGGCTCTACAAGTTCACATGCATCAAGCTCAGGAAGAAGAGGATTTTAAGTCTTAAACCGGACATGGCTGTGCCTGTTAACTTCAGAAAACGATCATGAAGATCGGTATCTCAGTTCAGTGTCCCGTACAAATGTGATACAGTCGCCTTAACGGAAGTGATTTGTGAGTTCAAAAATGTTTCTCCAAAGTCACTGCTTCTTTGCAGCAACGCAACCCTTATATGTCCGCAGGGTGGCATCAGCTCCAAGATGTTAAAAAAACATATTAACTTAACTGGAATGCCTTTTCGTCTTACAGATGTTTTATAAGCATTGCGATCTAATCTTTCCACTTGGCACCAATGACTCGGGAAATATATGACAAACTTTGCCTACAATTTTTTTTCAGCAGCAACGTTCTTTGGACTTGCTTCTCTTCTTCCAGCTCTTTTCAGCAACAAATATTGAGTTGATTTTGGCCTTTTCAGATGGTAGTGTGCGCTGTCCTGGCCGTTGTCGCTGCCCATTACGCCCTCCCTACAACAGCCTGGCCTACTCGGTACAACCGGAAGCCGCCAGATACTGGACCAACTTGGCCGCCCCCTATACCAAATACGCTGCTGCCCTCTATAACGGTTTCTCTGCCAGCGCCCCGGCCAGCGCCCGCCTCCAGGACAACGGCATCAGTACCAAGTTCGACGGCAAAATCCCCGTCTTTCCTTCGTCGGCTCCTTTAGTTACGTGGACCTCAATGGTGTGAAACAAACGGTCGACTACATTGTGGACGAGTCCCGCTACCGTGTGTCTGGCACCAACCTGCCGGCGGCTGCCGTCACCGACGTGAAGACGCCCGCCGACGCTGCTGCTACCAGGAGTGGCTACCACAAGAAACGCATTGCTCTGCCGATCGGCGTTACCCCTGAGGTGGCCGCCGCCAAGGCTGAGCACGCCCGCCTGTACAACGCACCCGCCCTCGGTGTCTACCCTCAGACGTACGCTGCCTCCGGCACTCCGTCACGTTCAAGTGCACGTACGGCCCGGAGGGCGTTTCTTACTCGTACAGCTCTATTTACCCGTATCCCCTCCCTTAACTTTCGATGCTTTACTTTTGTAAGTGCTCTGAGCCTGCTCACCTGCGATCAAATGCTGACTTTTCATCTCTGACTCGCTTCCAAGTGTTCTGTTTGTGTTCATATGCCGTTACAACGGAAACCTATCATGTTTGGTGCACTGTCTTAGCTTGATGCCAGGGTACGTATTTACAGCTTGCTGGGATTGGTTGGTACGACGAACATAAAGATGTGGATCGTGTTTAACGTAATACAAAATATGCTTGGAAGCGCTGGTATGGCTGTATTCAATGGAAGGGTGGAGAACACATGTATCTTAATTTTTCACCACTCCATACTGTTTATGGCCACGCCTTTTTGAATGCTTAAAGACATCTTGTTTATAAGCTTGACGTCCGCGAACTAGTGCAGACTATTTTGGACAGACTAGTCCGAAATCAATCAGACATCCACGACGCCATCGAAACATTACGCAAATGACACGACCTCGTTGGCCGTGCAGTGCTCAAGGTCAATACGAATGTGATAATATAATAATTCACGTCTGGCACACATCTAGCACGATTCGTGGCATCAATGGAAAGCAGGTGGCATTCAAATATCTTGATGTAGTGAGTGCAAGATTCGAACACAAATCACTCTTTTGCTACGTGATGCGAGGTTTTGTGCAATGGTAACAGTTATGATTGAAAGAAGACTGTGATAGAAGAAGGTAGGAGTAGCGCCATGTGTAAATGAAAGAAAGTTATACAAAGTCCAGGACGAATGTAGAACACCACGAGAAAGGGCTAAAACGCAAACGCAGGACAATATTCGGGCCCAGCAAGCACCAGCAAACCAGCAAACATCCGCGCCTCTCTACGTACTCAAACACTGCCGTATTCATGAACATATTTGATTAGTACTGATTGTTTTTCGAGAGCGGTATTTTCCATTTACCCTAAACCATTAGTTACAAGTGAGCTGATTTTATCTTATCTCATGCTTACCTGAATATCTTTAAAGGTGGATCATCTCATTTAAATGCTCTGTTTGTGTTCAGTTGCCACTGAACCGAAAACCTGCCATGTTTGTGTGCATTCTTTCAGCTTGATGCCAGAGTACGTATTGACGGTTAACGGACATTACCTTGTCTCAGACGAGTGACGTAAAGGTGTGGATCATGCTTGACGTAATACAAAACTTGCTTGGTAGCACTGACATGTTTGTTAACACCGCAAGTGGTGGGTGGGCGGACATCCCAATTTCCCTTCAATGACGTTGCGCCCACTCCATTTTCGACTGTAAGGATGCATATTTCTCGTTTTTCCACTCAGCAAGCCACCTTCGCGTCACGCTGTCCGTCAGATTCCAGTTTGACTGCCCAAGCTCGTGTGTGGATAACCGATGCGAAATCAAGGGTTGTGTTCATGTCGCGAAATCTTTCAGCTTTCAGCCTTCATTCTCCACGACGAATGCTTGGTTCTACCCCTATCGCGCTTTGGTTACAGCACCTGAACCGGTGGGCCCTTCGCTCCGATGACGCCGGTAGCTCCCTCCGCGTTAGCTGGGATCGGTTTGCTCCCTCTGCAGAAGTGCCGACATCGCCTTACGCGTTACACAGCTGGCGACCGCTCCAGGGAGTCATCAAAAAGTTCAGGGCCACAGCGTCCAGTGTTCATATCGTCCAGAAAACGTCCAATTCCGTGCCCATTGGGGGTGTTCATAAGGTCCAGGGACGCGAAGTCTAAAGTCGCAAAGTCCAGAGTCGTTAAGTCCAGTGTTCAAAACGTCAAGCATTCATGGCAACCAGGCTAGTTCGGATTCCTGCCGCTAGATAACACTACAGAAGCATCTTTGAGTCCTGCCGCTATTTCCCTCTTTTGTCAACAGATGGCACAGTCAACCTGGCATGCCACTGATGATCACGTGATGCGTACAGTCAAGCATGGCTATTATAAATAACCTAGACACCTGGCGGCCGTGTCCAGCCTGGGCGCGGCTGCGCCCTGGGACTCACCGGCGGGCTTGGCGCAGACGCGCCTGGCGGCGGCGCGGGCTCGGCGGCGACCGCTGCACCTTCGGGATAAGCGGGCTCTCCCTCTCCGCCGCTGCTGCCGGGACCCCAAATGCCGGGGTACACTCGGTTGCTGAGGGCCCCTTCATATTGGTATCGGGTTTTTCATATCGGGTTGCTTCCGCGTGCTTGGAGTACCCTGGGCCCGAGGAGGTGAGGAGAATAGGTCTAGACCCCTAGTTAGGACGTAGTTGATGACGGATGATGCGAAAGCTTTTCCACCAGCCGTGCTCCAGCGCTCCAGTGATGAACAGTCCAAGACGGCGCTCCTCTACAACTCCTCATCGTGAGCTGAACGTGTTGAAAAGTATTATGATCATATTTGAACTGCATACCCGTATCTTTGTCATATTTCCTTCGGTCTTATTCGTTCACTGCTGTTCGTCTTAAGCGATAACAGCGATCGGTTGCCTTGGTCGATCATCTTGTCGTTCGCGCCACTTTCAATCGCGCCAACCTGCCAATCGCCAAGCGCGTGCGAACAGTCTGACGCGTCAATGAGATGTTCCCGTTGTTCGGACTGGGAAAGTTTCGCGAGCATCGGAGCCTATCGGCGCCAGCCCATAGACAGAGCACAACTTGTTGCGAGAGACTTGGTCTGTTGGGACGGGGTCAGCGCGAGGTCAAGCTAGGAGCAAGCAGTTATGGAACGAAGCAAGCATGTTTTTTCCTGTTTTGCCCGCCATGGCTTCAGTTAGTAGCAAAATGAGGAATATTGTTTCACGAAAAATCGTTGCCGATACCCAACGCAGCAATAACATGACGTTTAACCCTCGCCGTGTTAGGCACTGATGATGGCACGTGTTTTCGTACCAGAACGTGTTCCTACATTTTCTGGTTTCGGAGCAGCGGCAGTTTGTGATGAGCACTCCACGGCGATCTATGGCTGCCTCATGCGGCGGGCGGCAAGATAATTGCACCACAGAAAGTACTCAGAATTGAACAAGATGCATGCCAATTTAGGGTTCGTGTCACTGCAGGGCTTGTTCTCGTTAACATAAAATAAAGCTTCAAAGTGCGGTGTGCCGTAAAATTCGACTTCTGACCTATCAACAACATAAAAACTAGAGTCACCTAAATAACTTGTCACCGTCAATTACGAAAACGTATGTGGTGCATGTGAGCATTTGGCGTGGCAGCGTTTTTGAGACATAAGTATTTTTGAAGGTGTATTTTGCGTGGCGATTGGCGAGGAGTTGAATACATTCACAGTCAACGTTTGCTTTTCTACTTCCTATCTACTTGCAACCAGAATTGTAGTTCCCTTTTCAGTTGCAGGGTTTCACCCCCGCCGTAACTTGGGCTGCAGCGTGCAGATTTGTGAGAAACCGAGCCAAATTCTGAAAGAAATAAATTCGTTGGCATATTATCACGGTACCCTTCGTTGAATTTTCAACACTCAGCCAACCAACTTATTTTGGCAAACCACGAAGAAACGAGTAGGCTGGGCCATTGAACGTGTCTCACCAAGGAGTAGTATCCGGATTCAGCTGATGAGACATCCCCCAGCCCCTCTCTTTGAGAGTAAAGACATGCAGAATTCAGAATAAGTCCCGTTTGCAGGGGCGTGTGAAAGAATTTGCAATTGGAGGAGGGCGGTAAATCAGTCAAATAAAATCGCTAACAATATAGGTTAGCAGGCCAAGAGCTGGAGATCTATCTGCGCGCCTACCTGGAGCAGATATCAAGTCAGTCAGCTTTACAAATCGGTTGTCAGTTCCTTCAAAAAAAATGAGAAACATCACCAGCACATACAGTAAATAACGAAGCCAAATACCGCGGATAATTTTATCCATAGCCCACAATACCAAACAGCAGGCAACCCGACAAGTGCTTTCCACGATTGCCGTGCAGCTACTGCCGAATAGCGAGCTATTTCCGGTGGCACGAGCCAGGGATCAAAGTTTTGAATTCTTTAATGCGTCTGCTGCCAAGAGCGTTGACGCGGCAAAGTTTGTGCGCTCAAACAAAACGTTGTCCATATCCATGCACAGTGGTTCAACTGGGCAGCACTGCACCGCATGACGTCACTCGTCAGCTGAGGTGGGCGAAATCGACTCCGTAGCCCTCTGTCGGGCAACATCCGAAGCATTAGGTGAGGGGTTACGAGGAAGTGGGATAGTATCCCAAACCGTGGATCTCACGCACGCTGGACGTTATGAACACTGGACTTTATGAACACTGGATATTATGATTATCCTATGTTTAGGGGTTTTGGACGTTTTCTGGACCTTATGAACGCTGGATGCTGCGATTCTGGACTTTTTTACCACTGGACTTTATGAACTCTGGACGTTTCCATACGCATCCTCTGAAACAAGCCTGAAGTTTGCAAACTGCTATTTGCGGACGATGTCTTAGTGCTCCGAGATTGCTCGTTGGGAGGAGCGTAGTCCAGGAATCGAGTGTCATCTGCTTATGAGATGAGGCAGCCATGTGATAGTTGGCTGGACAAGTCGTTTGTAAATAGGGTGAATACTAGTAAATCGACTTTGGATCCCTAGACCACTCCGTGGGTTACCGGTAGGGTCATCAGCCTTCCACGTACCACCTGTATCCGAGCACTCAAATAGCTTTTGAACCAATCGGGGTCCACGCCGTACCAATGAAGTTTTATTAGGAGCAAACGATGATCAGCGCTGTCCAAAGCCTTGGGTAGGTCGACGGCAGTTAGCGAATACTTTACCCCAGGAAATGCAGACGATTTCGAAGTGACCTGCGTAATGTGAAATGTACTAAAAAAGCTCCTTTATATGTTGTGCCCGTTTGAAAACATTGGCAGGTCTTTCACAAAATAACA